AGGAAGAAGTGTGGCTTCTCTGAGGGAGTGTCAGGAGGAGGGAAGCCGCTGCCAAAAAAGGTGGAAAGTCAACTTAATCGGAGCCGCCGCCGCCGCCCACATCAAGGAAGCGACGCTGAGACAACCGGATAGGCGCCGGGACAAGGCGAGGCTCCTCTCTTGCCCACGGTTCGCCTGGTGGCAAAGGTCCCTCGCACCGTTTCGGCCAGGGACGCGTTAGGTGTACGTGAGGCGAGGGGCCGGCTCTCACTCACCTGTTGTCTCTCTCTCCCCCCCCCACCCCGCCTCCACCCCTCAGCGGCGGGAGAGCAAGCTCGCTGGCGAAGGGAAGGACTTCGACGCCGCCAGGGTTGCAACCACTTTTCCACAGGCAGTTCACATGCGCTCGACCGTGGATGAGAGTTTTCCACTGGTGCAGATTTCTGTGGGAAGCAGCAAGACCTGTTCCATAAGAGGGGTTTTTCCAAGACGGCAGCCCCTATACTGTACGTGCTTATCTACTGAAATGTCGGTTTCATTGGGTTCAAGCGCACTTTCTCCCAAGTATGAAGCCCAGGATTTATTTATTTTTATTACTCTGTGATACCAAGTTTCAGGACTGTCCTGCTTTTCAGTAAGTGAGGTATAGTCCCCTCAGGTGGTGGAGTGTCTGGGATTGTGAAGTACAAAGGGTGGTGAATTATACACAGAGCTAGCTCCCAAGGAAAGAGAATCAGTCACCCGAAAAGGTATAGATACCTCTGTGCTGGGAATGAGGGGGAGACTAGAAGTCCCTGCATCAAAGGGAAAGATAAATTCTATGCCAGGGGAGAGATAGGTATCCATGTGCTGAAGCGGGGGTGGGGAGTGGGGTGAACCTCCTCTCAGACAATGAAGGAAGTTACAGAGGGACCAATTGACTTTCCTGCCTGAGAAGGTGAAAACCAACCCCAGGAAGCCTGAGGAACAGAATGACGAGGGGGAGAAGAAAGACACCCTCAGGAGACAAACACTTGGGAAGATTGGTTGGACAACTACTGGGCTAAGGAGTCCCCTGAAGAAGTAGTCCTGGGTGAATGGGATTATGTGTACAAGAAGGATCTCTGGTGAGGGATCTAGGTTCAGTTTTGGGGCCCAAAGGAGAGGGCTCCAAATAGGAATATAGGTCACCTCATAGCCCTCCTGTTGGAGAGAAAGGGAGAGGAAAGAAAAGAGGGAGTGGAGAAAGGAAGGTGGTTCTATCTCTTCCCCAAACAGATGCTGGTGGTGAAGGAGAGCTTGCAGTCAACAACATCAAGAACCAAGGAGACCAGTAACACTAAAGGGAGAGTCCCGGCATACCTGCCCTCAGTGTAGGCATACCTCCCCTTAGGGACATATCTGAGAGAGAGAAATCTTGGAGGATGGACTGGACTAGCTGATCAAACTGTGGGCTTAATGAAGGGAACTGTGTTGTCCTGAGAGTAGAGATGGGAGCGTCATGTTCTTCTCTTCTGTCTCTACCCAAGATACCTTGGCCCTCTTGGTGAATAAAACATGAGCGCTGAAGACCCATGGTCAGAATAAGGGACTAGTGCAGGAAACTCAAACTACTGGCTCTGTGCATAATTATCTTTCTCCCCAATCCAAGTTTCAATAAACCCCATTGAGTTTTATCCATTGTGTGAATTCAGGGATGGAAGGCAGGAACCTGGCCAAGGTTATGGGGGCTGACCCTCACTGGACTGTGTCTGGCAGTCCAAAGCATCCAATCTACAATGCCTTGTGTTATGCCTTTCCCTTGATAGAAGAGGAATATATCTCTTAGCCAAAGGAGCCCAAGATGAAAAAGGAGTTAAGTGGCACAGCTTGCAGCACCTTTCAGAGGCCCAGGAGAGAAGGGTGGAGTCCAGAGAAGTATCAGACAACATAAGAACGCTGACATAGATTGACTCTTTGCTTCAAGGAATAAGAGCAATTCCAACTTTCATATCAGAAACACGTGGCATTTCAAGGTCAAACAGGCATCTGATAACTAATTGCAAACACCTGGATGTCTATAAGAGGCAGGTTGAGAGCTATAGATTCTGCTTTCAATCAGCTTGAATGCTGAAGACAATAGTCTTAAAGACCTTGATGTTAGGAAAGTGTGAAGGCAAGAGAAAAAGGGGACGACAGAGGATGAGATGGTTGGACAGTGTCATCAAAGCAACCAACATGAATTTGACACAACTCTGGGAGGCAGTGGAAGTGGCATGCTCTGGTCCATGGGGTCACAAAGAGTCGGACATGACTAAAAGTCTGAGGAGAGTTGGTAGGAGGTCCCTGAGAGGGCAGCAGTTTCTGCCTTCCTTAATTCCTTGAAACTCTCTGCACTCCAAATTGAATTAATGCAGTGCTTCTACCTGTCTTCTGTTTGACAAAGTGAATATCTGGAAGTTCAGTCATGTCAACTGGACTTATTCCTTATTAGGTTGAGACGTTTTGCTACTCATCCAAGTAGCCTCTTCAGTCTGAGGAGAGTTGGTAGGAGGTCCCTGAGAATCTTCATAGATATATTGCTAAACAAGGTGAATAGCTTATTGGCCTGACACTTAGCTCAAGCCTTGAAATTCTGGACAACAGTTTGATACTTGGAAACAGAATGGCCTTGATGATGCAGCCTCCTGCACTTGCTGCTTGCCAATGTTACACCTGGCTCTAAGGAAGCATGCTTCAGATCATGCTACTTCCGCTAGGCTGCCTTTATGGTGCATATAAATAGCCACTTTCTGCTGCTTTCTAGAGACGAGGGGCAGGAATGATGAGAGAAGTGTTTGTTACACTTCTCCCTCCCTCCAAGTCAGATAACAATACCCTTCCTATATATACTAGCATGAAAATAAGATAAATTTAACATAAGAGTAACACATTGTTCAGAGTTTTTTATGTTCCAAATGAAATAAACAAGAAGAAACCCTTTAAAAGTATATAAACGATTATTGCGCACCAACAGTGTCCCTAGTTTGTTTCCCTCAAACCCAGATCCACCTTTGGACATGACTTGCTTACTTCTCCTTTCACCAACTGCTACCAGTGGATCTTTATCCACACTTTACCAATGAAGTTGCATAGACACGTGTTGTCAAATATAATTGATTATTATTTTTTTTGAATCACACAAGTAGGTTCTTAGATGTTTTATTATGTTGCCCTCATCAAACTTGGATATTAAACACGTTTCTTTATTTGTATTACTTCACATCAATCACTGGAATAAGATCTGATGACTGTCTATTTTATTATACTTCTATCCTTTAACTATTCTTTAACACATCAACCAACTACATCAGCTTTCCAATCTTCCTCATAAACTTTCAAAACCTCTTCTCTCCTTCACTCTCAGTCCCCAACTGCCTCTCTAACTGTCCCCTTGACTCCGCCCTCCTGTCCTCTCATAGGCTCCAGCTCTAGAGCTCCACATGATGGACATGGGCATTCCGCCACAACAATGTTGAAGAAGAGGCTCATAAAGGCTGTAGTTCTTGACACAGAGAAAAAAAACATGACATTTAAGAAGATAATAAAACAAAAAGTTGACAACTGCATCTCTGTTTTGTTTTCCATACAACATTTAATGATATGCATACTGATGGCAAGCAGAAATTGTTGAAGGTATTTATTTTTTTTCAGTTCCAAAAGCATGTAATTTAGGAGTACCAAAAAAATCTGGATTTGTATTACAAGCATTGCATGCTTTTGCATCCTTTAGAAATAACAACAGTGTCAATAAATAAATTCCGCCTACATAAACCAGAGTAGGCCCCCAGAGCTCATTAATTTAAATTATTTTAAGCCTTCCTGTCCATTAGAAGTGATCCTACAGAAATTTTTGAGTTTTAAAAATATCCTGTTCTCTATACCCTGAGGCCCCCAAAAGCTTACCCAGAGCAAAAGAGAGTCCTCAAGAGCTAAAAGGATGATGGTGGGAAATAGGAAGCTTTAAATTAATTTAAATTAATTATTTTATGCACCCTGATCTGGTTTGCTCTGTTAGAACTGTACCAACAGGATTTTGACCATTGAAAGTCTATGTTATATTATAATACGACAAACGGTATGCATTTTGGGATGCTTATTATGGCAATATTAAAAACAAGACCAAGTGTGACCTAGAGCAGGAGTCGTCAACCCATGATCCGTGGCCTGGTGCCAGTCCGTGGGCATGCTGGAACTGGGCTGTGTATACATATCTCCGTGCCCCCCCTACGCATGCACAGGGGGCATGTCACGCATGCAGGGGGCATGTTGCATCTGTGGGGGCATGTCGCGTGAGCACAGCACCCACTGCGCGAGGGTGCCCCCCAAACATGGAGCCCACTCCCCCCAACCAGTCCACGGCCCCAAAAAGGTTGGGGACTGCTGATGTAGAATACTGATACTTATGGGCTTCATTAGTCATTTTCACATAGTCTGACCAACTGCTCAAGCACACAAAAGTTAAAGAACTGGCCAAAAGGGAATATATGAAAAGACTGGAAAATCTTAAAATCAAAATTAAATGGGGGAAATACAATCAAAGCCAGAAACACATGAGCTATTCCAGTAATTAGATATCCAGTTAGAATAATCAATTGGACTAAAAATGAATCAGAATAATTGGACTGA